CAGACAGGGAAAAAAATGGAGTCAGAAAGGACCTGATTTAAAAAAAGGTAAAGGAGGGTAGGGATCTTCACAGGGACATAGCACTTATCCTAATTTGTAATTCTACATGTTTTTTGCCAGTTTACTTGTATATTGTTTCCTTTCCCCACTAGATTATGAGATGACAGGGAGTATGTTGTTTTGTTTACGATTCTTCCCAACACTCAACATATAATATGTGTTCAATACAGTCTTGTTGATTGTATGAGTGAGAAAAAATTGCATGCTTTCACCTTTGACTCTTCTTCTCTAAGCTCTCCTCATTCCTTGAGATTCAGACCAAGCCTGAACTCTCCTATAATACTTTCTCCAGTGATCAATACATCTGAACTCCTGTAGTTGTTTAGGTAACAGTATAGTTGACTTTTTTGATGTACAGTTTATGAATTTTAACACATGTATAGATTAGTATAATCACCACCACAATTATGAATTAGAGCAGTTGCTTACTTGCCATCCCCACCCTCTTTCAAGCACTGATCTGTTCTCAATTCCCATTGTTACATTTTTCCTAGAAAAGAAATACATATATATGTATATACATTTTTTTGATTTACGTAAGTGATACCTACAAAAAAATGGAATATATTTATGTATATAATGGAATAATACAGTATGCAGTCTTTCAGGATTAACCTTTTTCACTCGGCACAATTCTCTGGAGAGTCATCTAAATTGTTATATGTGTTAATAGTTTACTAGTTTTTATTGCTGAGTAGTATTCCATGGCATTAATGTACAACTTTTCACTGTTAAAGGAAATTTAGATTGTATCCAGTTGTTGGCTCTTATTAATAAAATTGCTATGACTATCTGTGTAGAAGCATTTATTTATTTGTTTATTTATTCATTTTTTGAGGCAGAGCCTGACTCTCTCACCCAGGCTGGAGTGCAGTGGCATGATCTTGGCTAACTGCAACCTCTGCCTCCCAGGTTTAAGTGATTCTCATGCCTCAGCCTCCCAAGTAGCTGAGATTATAGGTTCCCGCCACCACACTTGATTAATTTTTGTATTTTTAGTAGAGATAAGGTTTTGCCATATTGGCCAAGCTGATCTCAAATGCCTGATCCCAAGTGATCTACCTGCCTTGGCCTCCAGTGTGTTAGGATTACAGGTGCTGTGTAGAAGCCTTTGTGTGAACATTGCTCACATTTCTCCATGGTAGATACAAAGAACTGGGATTTCTGGATCATACAGTAAAGGGATATTTAACTTTATAAGGAACTGCCAGACTTTTTCCAGAGTGTCTGAGCCATTTTACATTCCCATCAGCAGTGTGTGAGTGATAGTTTTTCCCTATTCTTGCCAGCATTTGGTGTTATCACTGATTTTTAAAGGCCATTGTGACAGGTATGTAATGATATCTCATTGTAATTTTGATGTGCATTTTCTAAATGGCTAATAATGTTTAACATCTATCATATGTTTATTTGTCACTCATAAATTGTGTAGTAAAGTGTCAGATCAACTTTGTTTTGCCCATTTTTAATTGGGTTGTTTGTTTTTATTTTGTTAAAAATTTAAGGGTTATGTATCTTGGATACAAGGGTGAAGCCTTGGCTACTATGGTCAGTCTAGGGCTGTTTGAGGAAATTATATTTAGGCTGATACTTGAACATAGCATAGAAATCAGCTATACTAAGAAACTTACAGGACAACTTCAACTGCAAGTGTAAATACCTTGAAACAGGAATGATCTCAGTGTATTTGAGGAATAAGAAGAAGACAGTGTGGATGTAGCATACTGAGAAGGATGAAGAATAATAAGAAATCAGTTTTTAGAGATAAAGAAGGATCAGTAAGATCATGTAGCATCTCACAAGCCATGGAAGGGAGTTTTTATTTTGTTTTACTCACAGTGAGGAGCTGTTGCAGAGTTGTGGTATGGTTTACTTTGTATTCTAAAGGTTATATTTGTTGTTATGTGAAGCATATGTTATGAAAGGAACAAGATAGATGGCTATTGTGGTTGTCCAGGTGACAGCAGATAATGGCACAGACTACGGTGGTAGTAGTGAAAATGGGTAGAAATAGATAGATATGAGATATATTTTTTGGATAGATCCCTCATATCCATGCTGATGGATATGAGATGTGAGGGAGTGAGAAGAATGAAAGATAACTTGAGTTTTTGGCTTACATAACTGGTGGCACTATTTATTGAGATAAAAAGGACTGCAAAGGAATAGGTTTGGGGGAGAAGTCAAATATTTATTTTGAATATGTTTTATCTGAGATAACAATTAAACAAATGGAGGTGCCAAGAAGGCAGCTGAATAAGTCTTGAACTCAACGGAGAGGTTGGAGAGAAGTTCAGTTAAACAGAACAGCATAATCAAAGATACAGAGCTGTGGAAGTATGAAGTATGCCCAGAGATGAGCAAGTAGTAAAGTTTGACCAGTATGTATTTTGCATAACTAGAAAGAATAAGAGACATGGCTGAAAAGGTAGGCCAGGACTGAGTTAGAGAGAACTTAGATGCTTGGAAAATGTTCGAAATTTATTATTTGATTATTAGGAAGCCATTACAGGTCTTTGAGAAAAGGCATGACACGAACAAATAAAGGTTTTGGAAAGTTTAATATGGCATAGACAAAACAATGTTTAAAAGAAGAACAAAGTTGGAGAACTCATACTTAATGGTTTTTAAACTTACTACAAAGCATAAAATTCAAGATTGTGTGGCATTGGCATAAGGATAGACACATAGATCAATAGAATAGAATTGAAGATCCAGAAATAAACCCTCTCATTTTTGGTCAATTCATTATCAACAAAAGTTCCAAGACCTTTCAATGGAAAAAAAAAATAGTCTTTTCAATAAATGGTGCTGAGGCAACTGGATTTCCACATACAAAACTATGAAATTGGACCTCTAACTCACAACATATGGAAAAATCAACTCAAAATGAATCGAATGACTAAATATAAAAGCTAAAGCTATAAAACTTTTAGAAGAAAGCAAAGGAGAAAACCTTCATAACCTTGGATTAGGCAATGGTTTCTTATATACAACACTAAAAGCATGAGTGAACAAATAAATTGAAATACCTTAAAATTTAAAATGTGCTTTTAAGGACACCATAAAAAAGTGAAACGACAACCCACTAGATGTGAAACAATTTGACAGTTATATATCTGATAAGGGACTTGTATCCAGAATCTACAAGAAACTATCGCTTGATGTCATTGTTACTTGACAATGTTATCAAAAAATACATAACCTAATTTAAAATGGGCAAAGATTTCAAACAAATGTTGCTCTAAAGAAGATGTTAAAATGGCTATTAGGCACAGGAGAATATGCTCAACATTGTTACTCATCGGAGAAATGTAAATCACAACCGTAGTGAGATAACACTTTTCACGTGCCAGGATAACTAAAATAAAAAAATTTAAAAAGCAGACAATAACTAGTTTTCATGCAGATGTTGAGAAATTGGAACCCTAATATGTTGCCAATGAGAATGCAAAATGGTGCAGGTGCTTTGGAAAGCAGTTTGGCAATTATTTAAGTGGTTAAACATAGAGTTACCATATAACTCAGGAATAAATATATCCACATAAAAACTTGTACACAAATGCTGATTTGTGTACACTATTTGCAACACTATTCTTAATAACTAAAAAGTGAAAATGACCCAAGTGTTCATCAATTGAAGAATGAATGAATAAAATGTGGTATATCTATTCAATGAAATATTGTTTGGCAATAAACACAATTATCAATATTTGCTACAATGTGGGTGGGCAATGAAAGCATATTAAATAAAATTCAGTCACAAAATAAACTATACAATATAATTCAATGTCTATGGAATTCCCAGAATGGACAAATCTATAGAGACAGAAAGTAGATTAGTGATTACCTTGGGTGGGTGGGGTGGGGGGAGGGTGTGTGGGTGTATTGGGAGCGAGGGCAGTGCAGGAAGTTTTTTGGTGGTAATGAAATGTCAAATGAATCATGGTGGTGGTTACAAAGCTCTGTTAATTTACTAAAAACAGTGAATTGAGCATTTTAAAAGGGTGAATTGTATGGTATGCATATTATATCTCAATAAAGCTGTTTAAAAAGATTAATATAGCATCAATTGGAAGATAAATCAGAGAGGTCAAGGCTGGAGGCAGAGAAATATGTTAAGAGCTTTGTAATAGTTAAGAAAGCAAGGGTCTAAACTAGGGCAAGAGTAATGATAATTGAAAGAAGAAGATGGTTCTAAAATGTAGTGTAGAGGTAGAATCAATAAGACCTGCCATTTGGTTAGATGTTGAATTATGAAAGTGAAAAAGTAAAGAAGATTAAAGTTTTGAGTTGGAGTAAGCAGGAGAGTGATAATGTTATTTCTAGACACTGGGAGCACAGACTAGGAAACAAGGTTGTTTTTCAAAGGAGGGAGGTGAGTTCATGCAATCTATTTTCCAGGTGCTGTCAGGAGAATCTTTAAAAGATATTCAGTATCTAATTGAAAATTTGGAGTTGGAGCTTGCTAACAAGGGGAGTCTGGCTGGAACTAAGTATTTAAAAGTCATCGATGTGCAGATCATAGTTGACCTCAGAAAGGTGACTAAAGCTTCCGAGGAAAGAGTATGGAAAGAGAGAAGAGAACTGAGACAGAACTTTGTGCAATCAACCGCATTTAGGAGGTAGCAGCTAGAAAAAACAAACCAAAGCAGAGCTCCCCACTCCCAAAAAGGACATTACAAGCAAAAAAAAAGTAGCAAGGCTGCCTTACCAGAGGATTGGACCTGGGCCTTTGAGGATAGGGAAAGTAGAACAGAAATGTTGAAGGTGTCCCATGGGGGAGAAGAGCAAGTTTACAAGAATAAAATGATAGAGGAATGATAAAGAAAGATCTTAAAGAAGATGGGACTCACCCACCACTGTCTCTTGGGGAGACCTGGGATTTGAGAGAAATTTCTGGTCCCGTGCAACTGGAGTTTCCTTGTTATACTTCCTAGGTGAGGTGCTCACTTATCAATGGAACATCCCAGAGAGATCTGGCCCTGGGCCCAATGACTCTGCTTGCATTTCCTGGATCTATTATTCTGCAGTGGATCCCATCAAGGTAAAAACAAGATTGGTTGCTTGGAGGTGGGTCAAACTCTCTGGCAAAAATAAGCTATTAAGCAGGTGTAGTAAGAATCATACTCCTGAGATACTAGAGCCTAGAATTTGGGAAACATTCCCAAAAGCTGGACTTATTTTGATAGACAGGAGGAGAGAGGAAGGGAATGGGTAGCATCAGATATTTGTCATGAAGATTGCCTTCCTTACCTTTTCATTTTGGATCCTATAAAGCAACATGTTCTTATTATTAAAAAACAAAGAAAAACACCTCAGGTTGGTTGTACAGAGATTGAGGCTATAGTCCCAAATTTGGTTATAGCATGCTTTTAGAGTGACCTTAAATAAGTCATTCTGCCTGTTTCCTTATCTGGAAAATGAATTTATCGATCTAGCCATCCATCTACAGCCAGCCATCAGCAATCATTTATTTAGCGCCTACTGCATTTTAGGCATTTTACTTGGTGCTTTGGATGATGTAAATTTAAGATAGATTTCCTTTCTTCAAAGAGTATGGTCTAGTTGAGCAAGACGGAACCTGGAGAAAGCATCACAATGGGAGGTGCATGTTCTCTTGGCCTCAAAATCTGAATCACATTATATTATCAGATAAGGGCTATGATGAGAAGGAGGACATTGTAGGCAGAGGAAACAGCACAAAAAGGACACTAGGTTGTAAAAATCCTTGGTAGGCTAAGAGGTCAATAAATAGTTTAGCCTAGCTAAAGCATAAGTTAGATAGTGTATCTTAACTAAGTCCCAAGTTAACTGTGAGAATGAATTCAAATAATATAGTGGGGTATTTATAAATGTAAGATATCACGAGGAAATGCTGAGAGGCACAATAGGCTTGTATAAGAACCTGGCTCCCTGCAGTGTCCTGCTACCCAGAAACAATTCCATCTCTTTCTTTCTCTCCCACTTCCTCCCTTCCTCAGGACATGTATAGTGGCCTGGTAGGGCCCTTGGCTATCTGCCGGAAGGGCATCCTGGAGCCTCATGGAGGACGGAGTGACATGGACCGGGAATTTGCCTTGTTATTTTTGATTTTTGATGAAAACCAGTCTTGGTATTTGGAGGAAAATGTGGCAACCCATGGGTCCCAGGATCCAGGCAATGTTAACCTACAGGATGAAACTTTCTTGGAGAGCAATAAAATGCATGGTCAGTAGAAAAAAACCCACTCTTCCTGCAGAGAAATCCCTACTGGTTATATGGGGATATCTGACAGGCCCATTACTACCTAAGGGAATACAATTCCAGAAAGGATAGGAACATGGGAAGATAAAACGGGGATGAGTTAAAAGAAATGTTTCCTATTATTGTACATTTATATATGCAGAGCAGATATGTGGTCCAGATTAGACTGAGTGCCCAAAAAGCAGGAAGTTGATTCTGTAAAGTTGCCACGGTGATACCAGCAAATTTTAACATATTAAAGAAGGCAAAATGGACATGCATGACCCTCAATGTACTTGTCAAACTGACTGCTTAATGCCCCTCTATTTTAAAACCCTGAGTTGAGTCTCCCCATATAATCTTATTTATTTGCCACTCTGAATTTGGGATCTGTTATCTCAATGGATTCCAATACAGCCAGATGAAAGCTTGTATTTTAGTCTGTTTTTAAAACAGAGTTTCAATTTACAGATAGAATAATTGAAGAACAGAGCCTTAGTGAGAAGCATGCTGGATTTCTGTTAGATGTAGAGAATAACTTTTTGATGCTTGAAGGGATTTGGGAGGGAAATTGTGCATCAAAGCCTTCCTTTGCTCAAGAGATCTGTGTAGCTTTTAAAAAACAAGAGAAGGAAAGGAGAGCATAAGTGCAGTCGAATGTATGAAGTGATCTCTCACTACTCCTTCTAGCCCAAGATTTCTTTGACATGAGGATGAGGTGTAGCTTTGATACTGATTCTAATGGAGCTAAAAAGTAGTACAGTATCTTATTATCCCACAGATTTTAGCTATTTCTCCTTGATGGAGTGATGAATGATTTACATTAGAACAGATGATTTACAAACTTCACAAGGTATACATTTTAGCACCTGTCCAATCAGAGAAATAGCCCAGGACAAAAAGAGAATGAAGGCACAGTTAGGTACTGTTAATGCGGTGGTTTGGCTAATGCTTACTTTCTTCTGTTTGTTTATGTGTCTATTTATCCACACTCTTCAGGTATAAATATACCTACTTATCCATCTAGCAGGTATTTGTTGAGCACTTTCTGAGTGCTAGCACTGGACATATTTGCACCTGAGGGGTAAAAAAATAATATCCTTCTCTTCCCTTTCACGTTCCTGAACCAACTGAGAAAGAGAGATAGATGCTTAAGGTCAAATGTGAATCGTATTACTAAGAAGGCTAATTGAAAAACTGATTTAAGTTCTACAACTAAATGGGCTTACTAACAATTATCTGGCAACAGACAGACTTTTCCATCTTGTCACTGACATAGATGAACAGCAATACTCTCCTCTTCTGCAGAGGGAGAATCTTACCCACAGTGAAATAATGAATCAACTATTGCCCATTTCTATGGCCAGATTGATGAGAGAGAAAAAAGATCAATAAGAGGCTGAGTTGATCATGTTTAGTTTTCTCTCTGAAATCCACAATTTGGTAGAGGTAGACATAGAGACGGATTATAAGTGATTGCTTCCTCTCTTGGGGAATAAAGTGGAAATTACCTTCCCTCTGTAAGAACATGAGAAGTGGAGGAAAATTGTCTAGGAAAACGTCCTGGAAGTGTGAATTAATATAACAATGAGTAGTTTGATGTCCTTGGAGCATAGGATGTGGTCCGGGAAGGGACCCATGCATTAATATCATTGTTAATTTCATGCATTAATATTATTAATTCCATGAATGTGACAGGTCTTTTTTAACATTTATTGTAAACTCAGCTATTTACCGGGTGTTCTGAAAAAATACAAGGAAACTATAGTAATGTAGTGTATACATACATTCTTTCCTGAATATTAGGACCCTATAGTCTAATTGGGGATGTAAGCTTTTGCACATGATAAGACAGGTAAAGGTAGAAGGCAATTTCTTATGAGTTCCAATAACTCATGCAAATAGTACTGGAGGAGCTCACAGGAGGAAGGGGATGCAGGGAATGAGAGGTATGGAGAGGAACTAGGAGATTAGGAAAGTCTTTCTGGGGGATGTGAAGATTTGACTGGACTTTTAAAAATGAATAAAAGAAGGCAGGATTTCTAGTAAGGAATTTTAGAAACACAAGAACAAAGAACATGCATGGACCATTTGAGGAGTGGTAAAGAAATCACCCCAATTGTAATAAATGTGTTGGGTAATGGGAGATGAGACTGGGAAGGTGGTTTGGAGCTATATTTTGAAGGATCTTGTTGGCTGATGTAAGGACTTGCTCTTTGGGGCAGGAGAAAGTAATTAAAATATTTTAAGCAGCAGAATGACATCATCAGATTCAATTATTTAGAGAGATAATTCTGGTAATATCAATGTAAGAAGATACCCTGAAGAAGGATAGATGGAATAAAGATGAGACAAATTAGGAGTCCATTGCTATCTTAGGCAAAAGAGATTAGGTCTAGGACAGTGGCAACGGGAAGTCAAAAGGAGGGACGTAAGAAGCTTTTTTCTTTCTTTTGTTTTTCTCTACAGCAATCAATGGGAAACTCTATGCCAACCTTAGGGGTCTTACCATGTACCAAGGAGAACGAGTGGCCTGGTACATGATGGCCATGGGCCAAGATGTGGATCTACACACTATCCACTTTCATGCAGAGAGCTTCCTCTATCGGGTGAGCTGGAAAGTGGGCTGAGTTCCTCAAGGATGATTAGAGGAGTGTTTTTGCAACAATTGTGAAAAAGGGTAATAGCATTGAAAAAGGTTAACAATTAGTTAAAAGAGCTGAGGTCTAGTACATGGAGTACTGAGCTGGAAATTCTAGTCCAGCTGTGTATCCCAGGGTCAATAACTTCCCTCTAGGCCTTAGGTTTCCCTTCCGATATGAAAGAGACAAAATGACTCACTTATGGTTAAGGAGACTGAAAAGAATCATTATCAAGTCTCAGTCAAGGATTTGAGACTCAATGAGCGGTGATTTTTAAGAACAAGGAATTTCAGAGTAGCATCTCAGAATTGCTAAAAGCCCTTAATCCATCATAAGAAGAGCTTAAATTTAGGAGCTACATGGAACAATATGTAGATTTTGAAGATAGTTTAGTCTTAGGTAAAGGAGGAAGAGTTGGGGCATTGATAGAGACTTTGAGATTTAGAAGTGCTGAAAGAAACAATGGCAAGGATAACACTTTTATTTGAATCAATTTCTAAAGGAAATACATGCCTCAATTCATAGGGGCTAAAGCTTAAGCCAAATTCCACATATTTCAGCTTGTTGAAAAGTATGGAGATACTTGTTTTGAACCCTCTAAAGTAACCTAGGAATTCTTTTACTTTGGGACACTTTAAGAGGAGAAAGCCACCTATGTTGATTTAGTTTCTGTGGGTGGGTTCATTGGAGATACAAATAAAGTGAATTTTTAAAGCCATTCACTGGTCTAAGAACCTTGCAGTCTCATCTTCCCAATGTGGACATCACAAATTTTTAGTTCCTGAAAGCTCTAAGATGATCTTTATATCCTTCATTTCCTCTCCCCCATTCCCAATCTCTCTTGAAGAATGGCGAGAACTACCGGGCAGATGTGGTGGATCTGTTTCCAGGGACTTTTGAGGTTGTGGAGATGGTGGCCAGCAACCCTGGGACATGGCTGATGCACTGCCATGTGACTGACCATGTCCATGCTGGCATGGAGACCCTCTTCACTGTTTTGTCTCAAACAGGTAGGTTTTAACTTCCCCAAAAGGATCATCTTCTAACACTTGATCTAACTTATAGGAATGAGGTCATACCAAAAAGCCTCTTGCATGCCTCCTTCTGATCCCAGAATAGGCAAGTCTTAAGACAGAGTATAGCCTCCTTCTAGGTATTGCTCCAACAAATATTTCTAATCCTCCATTGCACCTGTCCCTCCATTGCTCCAACCAATATTTCTAATCTCCTGACACCTGTCCCTCTCCTAATTACTTCAAAACCTGTTGAGCTCATATTGGTTGACCCAGCCTGAAATGGGTTTGGCTCTATGCAGTGAAGCCTAGTGCAGGTCTGCTTCTTTTGAAATAAATTTAATTTATATACAAATGTATTACTTAGACTGCATTAGGGTAACTGATTATTTCAAGTAATATTGCTAATTAGTCTTTTTAAAAAGAGAATATATCTAACAGTCACTCATTAAATTGATTTGTTTTGTGGGGTTGTGAAAGGCAATTCTTTCCTTATTGTTTATTTTCCTTAGAGTCAGGGTCTTGGTCTGTCGCCCAGGCTGGAATGCAGTGGTGCAGTCATGGCTCCTTGGAGCCTCAAACTCCTAGGCTCAAGCGATCTTCCCACATCAGTCTCCCAAGTAGCTGGGACTTCAGGAATGTGCTGCCACACAAGGCTAATTTTTACACTCTTATAATTTTTGTAGAGAAGAAGATCTTCCTATGTTAGGCAGAATGGTCCCAAACTCTTGGCCACCTCCTGCAGCAGAAATCCTCCCACCTTGGTCTCCCAAAGTGCTGGGATTGCAGGCATAAGCCACTGCACCTAGCCTAGTTTTTATTTTTTAGACACAGGGTTTTGCCTAGGCTGGTTTCAAATATCTGGGCTCAAAGAATCCTTCCACCTAAGCCTCCCAAGTCACTGGGATTACAGGAATGAGCCAACATATCTAGCAAGACAGTTATTTTTGGTTTTTCAATAACTTCTAAGGATAGAAATAGATATTGACCTTCAATTATAGCTTATCTCAAAGTTACTAACAAGAGTGAAAAAAAGCGTTTTCTTTATATTCTATATGGAGAGGGAGTAGCTGGGGCAATTTCTTTACCAGTCACTCTTTGTTCTTCACCAAAAAATGTAGATGGGCAGCTGTGATGGCTTTTGTCTCTTTGGATAATTAAAGAGTCAAATGTCTTACTTTTTAAGCTTCTTGACCCGAGTCCAGCCCCCAACATTATTTGCCTTCCAAGAAGCCCTACAGAGCCTCCTGGGGCCCACAGAAATCAAGGTTGTTGTTGTTTTTTTTTTTCTGTGCTTTTAAAGAATATATAGCCACCATTTAAACAAAAATGATATTCCAGGGTTGTCAGCCATTGGCACTCTATTGAGAGCAATAGTAAGTGGGAAAATGTCTTTGAATATTTAAACAGACTTAGCAAACCAGGGTAGAGAATACAACTCTTCTGTTTACCCTCAGGGAGGGAGATGACTGATTGTACATTATGACATCCTATATCATTTAAGAGGTTTATTTTCTGTCAACCCATACTGCTAGAATGCGGCTTCCACTTAACTACTCAAATGCTATTCCCTAGAACCCAGAGTTACACAAGCTTCTTTGTTGTGTTGTCAGTACATAGAACGAAACTCAAGTGATCAATTGATATGTCATCAGGATGATATAGATCCAAGACAACAGGTTTTCTCTATATGTAGTAATGGGTTATCCCAAATATGGGCCATCCAATATATGAAAACATTTTAATACATATTTTCAGGGTACTTCCATGAGGAAGGATAGCTCATATCTCTCTGTGGCAATGAGTCAACCCATAAATCTTTTCTATTTGCCTTTTTGTTTTTTATACCCCACTATTGTCTTTTTTCATGTTGTTTCAACTCCATATGTGTTAATAGGTCAACAGGAAGGAAGAGTTGAAAAGATAGGGAGGAAAGACTAATTGTTGGAACAAGGTTTCTGCTAAGGAAGCAGGGAATGAGAATCAGAGCTAACATGCAAGATTAGTGCAAGAGTGGAAGAAAGTTATCTTTCTACTGTAAGAAGAAAGAAGACAGAAAATATAAGGATCAATGTGTAGGTTTGACCAGGGGGCTTGACAGACTGACAGAATTTCAACCTATGGTCTTTCTTTCCTCTCTGATGGAACAAATAGTGTCATCTGCTGAGAGTGAAGGACAGGTGGTAGGGTACAGGGCTTGAGGGAAGTGGACAAAAGTTTGAAATAGCCACTCTGGGGGATGGAAAATAAATTAATTATTTCACTAAGCAGCATTGAGGACTTAGTTGAAATTGGACACAAAGAATATTAATCTTTACAATTGTGTGATTTTTCTATGGCAGGATTCAGCATATCAGACCAAACACAGGGAAATTACGTTTACTGGAGTTTTGGTAGATTATTGCAACCCTCTTTGTAGATTAGTAGTTGAAGTGATAGACCTTGGAGTCTCACTTGGTCAGGAACGGGAGAAAGGACACGATGAAGCTCCTAGGTTGAGAAAAAAAATGGAAGAGTTTGAAAGCTAGAGGTTTCATGGCAGGGGAGGATAACAGGTTTTTGAAATAACATGTATTAGAGCACTGAAAGGATGGGAGGTTGTTATTAGATTTTAGATTTCTGAGATGTAACAATTCTGGATAACAAGGTTAATGTGACCATGGGATTGGTTGGTAGAATTAAAGTAGACATCAAAGTCACTGGAGTTACAAAGTCACTCCAGAAACTGTAAGGCTTGAGTATTTGATGGGTCGACACCAATGGTTGGAATTGAGGAAGAGGAAGACTGAGCCAGGTATTAGAGACTTTCATAAATGAAGAGAACTGCTAACTAACAATAACAAGAAATGATTGTAGTTCTTTTAGCCAAATAATAGGAGCCTCAAAAGAGATCTGTCTTTACAAAAACAGGAGGAACAATGACTTCAAAGAAGTATTGAGAGGACATAAATGAAGTATGGTCCTCAGAGAAGAACTCAGCTTTATTAAATGAAGGAGAGGAAGAAGTGTTCTGAGAAGACCTTGAATGTGTAGGAAAGTATGTTTGACAAGGAGCAGGGATTTCTTGAAGGAAGTGTGGCAGATGATGGAAAATAGAGCAACAGTGGGAATAGAGGAAGTGCCAAGAAACATGTAAATAATAGCAGAGGGGTGATTTACATTTTGGGCTCCAAGCCTGTTCTCTTGCCCATATTTCATGTCACTGTTAAAAATCAAATCAATATACCAATATTTACTTTGACTACAAAGTAGTAAATTCTATCTTTATTTTGCTTACTTTATCACAGAGAAATTTCTGCAACCAATGTTGACCTCTCACAGGGGTCCTATGGATTGGTAGGAAGAACAACAGGGCTAACCTCTTGTCTTTCTTCCCCCCAACCAGAACACTTAAGCACTATCACCACCATCACCAAAGAGACTGAAAAAGGTATGTAAAATGATGCGCAGACTGGGTAGTTATATGCAGTGTGTTTGTGTGGGGTGGGGGGAGGTACCTTCAGGGGATGGGACTTAGGTGACTGAAAGTTAGGATACATCAGCAGAAAGTATCCTGAGACTTCTGTAAGACTTCAGAAGCCAGAGAACCAAGGTTTAGCTTCCCTCAGCAAGTTTATTCTCTCTGGCTTCTACCCCAAACCTCCTGAGTTGGGGAAAACACCCTCCTCCCCATTTAAAGGCTGCTATATTAGCCTCCTATCTAATGTGAGAGGGGGACAGAAAATTCTAGATGCTAGTCAAAAACCAAATACTGCATTTTCTCACTTATAAGTGGGAGTTAAGCTATGAGTATGCAAAGGTATACAGAATGGCATAATGAACATTGGAGACTCAGAAGCGAGGAGGGTAGAAGGGGAATGAGGAATAAAAAACTGCTTGTTAGGTACAATGCACACTACTTGCATGATGGGTGCACTAAAATCCCAGATTTTACCACTATACAATTTATCCATGTAACCAAAAACAACTTGTACTCCTAAAGCTGTTGAAATATATATATATATATATATATATATATATATATATATACACACACACACATATATATATATTTTTTTATACACACACACACACACACACACACACACACACACACACACACACACACACATATATAAATCTAGGTCCTGCTAGGTTGGTCATGGAAAAGTTGTTGCACAAACATGAATTCCCCATAGGGACAGTGTGCAACTAGAACAAACACCACATGTTCTTCAACAGCTATTTTTTTTCTTGCCTCTTTCCCTTTCATCTATAAAATACCAAAGAGTTAAACCTTTGGAACCAGCCATTTCTGACCTTGAATACTATAGAGATTATTTTTCTGTGCAGGCCAAGCCCAAATAGTGTTGTTATTCTCCAACTCATTTGTCTCTGGACGAGGAAAGCTCCGGAAAGTTATGAGAGCTAAAAGGAACATTAGAGATAATCAGTTTAGTTAGAGGTTTCACAGCTGTTTTGGAGAAGTCTTAACGATCTGCCTAAGTATGTCATGAACTGCTAACCAGGGGACGAGGATACGTCCTGGAGAGGGTGGGAAGAGGTAAGGTGAGATTTTGTGGATGGGGCTTCAGAACGTGTCTCTTTTAACCTGAGCAGCTCAATTATTTTATATATATTTAAAAATTATCTATCTATCTATCTATATATTTGTCTTCACACATACTTTGTATGCACATTTGTACATACATATTTTGTGTACATTTATACATTCCTCATGAGCTCTCATTTGTTAAAATGTTTCCACAATGGGGAAAAAAGCCTTCGAAACTGTTGGTCTCATAAAACCCAATAATTTTCTACATGAGAAGCTGAGGAATGGAAAGTGATTTGTTCAAGGTCACAAAACGAATATGTGGTAGAATGTAAACTCAGAACCAGGAAGTGTTTCAGCTTCTGTTTGAACTCATTATATTATATAGTCTCTCGGTTGTGTTAGTACATTAATTCATCCAGTTATACAGTCATCATACAGGTGTCAAGTACCAGGGATATCAAAACAAGTAAGACATGGTCACCATTTTCCAGTGTCTAAAAATGGAATGAGGCACAGAAACAATAATTGCATTGCTGGATGCTGTGTGTTGTATAAAAAGGGCAAACAATAATAACAGCTAACATTTATTGGGCACTTACTATCTGCTAGGTGCTATGCTATTTTATAAGTATTAATTCGCTTTAATCTTACAATATGCCCCTGGGTTAGATATGGTTATTATTCTAATTTTATAAAAAAGGAAACTGAAGTTTAGATGGGAAGTGAGGGATTAGGTCACTTGGCCCAAGGTCACACAATACATAAATTACGGGAGTACAAGTTACAGACACTTGGAAAACATAGAGGAAAGAACAATTAATTGTCTAACGAAATCAAAGAAAACTTTGAAGAGACATGTAATATTTAAGATAGGAGCAGAAAGATGAGAAGAAGGAAAGTGTGTTCAGACAAGGGGATTAGCATGAGCAAAGTCCCTAGAAGCCTGAAAGGGGCTCACTTATTATAAGGGGGAAAGAATGAGTGGCTGTGGTTGAAAAGTAGTAGATAGGACTCGAAGGATATATTAGAGCCTGATAGTGAGAGTTGGAATGTCTGGTTTAAGAGTCTGAGCTTCTCTCTGTAGGTTAATTGGGAATCATCAAAAGTTTTTATGCCAAGAACTAACAATCAGATATTTCACTTGGAAAGATCTATGTTACATCAGTGTTAATATGACCCAAAGAGGTAAGACTGGACAGCCTAGAAGCAGGTTCTTGTCATGGTTTAATAGTCAAAATTGCTATTGATAAGCTGGAAGATTGAGTTAAACTTCTTTCTGAACTTTCCCTTATTGCTTCCAATTCTATCCTCTGAAACCATACGGAGCAAATCAAATTCATCCTTTTTTATATCACAGGCCTTTAGAAATTTAAAAAAATGTATCAAGGGCCTTCCTAATCTGAGTCTTAGCTCTTTCCATGACTGGACTGGGGCCTCAATGATTCTCAGGGACTCTTTTAGCTGTAACATCATGTTTCCTTGATTATGTGCTTTAACCTCTAAATCTGTCTTCATAAGCTGGTTTTGTGAAGGATAAGGATGCGTCTCCTGCCCTATTTGGATTGACTTGTTTTTTCAGGAGATGACTATACAAAGTTACCTTTTAGAGTACTGCCCATCCCAGGATGTTTGTTTTCTTCTTTCTCCATTTCAGCAGTGACCCCTAGAAACATTGAAGAAGGCAATGTGAATATGCTGGGCATGCCGATCCCCATAAAGAATGTTGAGATGCTGGCCTCTGTTTTGGTTGCCATTTGTGTCACCTTCCTGCTCACTGCTGTGGCTCTTGGTGGTGTGGTTTGGTACCAACATCGACAGAGAAAGCTACGACGCAATAGGAGATCCATTCTGGATGACAGCTTCAAGCTTCTGTCTCTCAAGCAGTAATATCTGGAGCCCGGGTATATCCTCAGAAAGCACATCTCTCATGCATTCCCAGCAGGCCATGGACTAGTAGCTAACTCCACTGTCAAAAGATTATGGGTGGTGGAGAAGCAGAAGAGGGAATCAAGCTTATCTGGGTATTTCTTCCTTTATTTATTTTACATGGAAATGATATGATTTTACTTTTTCTTTAGTTTCTTTGCTCCACATGGGCACCTGGGACTGAGGGAGTACCTTAGTACCCTACATCACAAATTTCAATGGCTACATTATATTGCCTTCTGACACTTGGAGGTCTTGAAATTTCTAGAAATGAATCCTTCTCACAAAGTAGATACCAAGAGAAAAACTCATTGATTGGGTTTCTACTGCTTTCAAGGACTCAGGAAAGTTCACTTTGAACTGAGGCCAAGTGAGCTGTTAAGATAACTCACATTTAAACCAAGGACTAAGAACATAGGTTTGATGGGAAACTGAAGGTAGGCTGGGAATTGGAAATCCAAATTGAATTTTGATTCACCTTGGCAGTGAACTACTTTGGAGAAGTGGTGAATGGGTTGTTGCTGCCATGAGCACCTACAACCTCTGAAGCCAGAAGTTCCTCAAGAAAGCCAGTCCTCCAAGTTCCTACACAGTGGCACTGAAAGGAATGTTGAGTGATCTCTCCATGTTTTAGACAACAAACCCTATTCATTAAAGTACTTGTTAGAACACTGAAAGACTGAATTTGATGGTTTTTGATGGTCTCTGTGGTTTCTGTGACCATGATTGAAACAGAAAAACTTAGGAGGTGAGTGAGTATATTATGGGTTTGTCTAGCCTTTGTAGAGCCTACAAGTTTGTGTTGTAGAGACAAGGAAGCTGTTACAGAAGAAGATCAAAGAGTGCTGGGTACTACCCTAGAAAAGGAGCTATCACATAAATGACAAAAATTTTCTGAGTGCCAATAAAATTTTCCAGAGGGAAATAGAAGTCTAAGATCAGACTCAAACCTATCCCCTGGACCACGGGAAGTGGGACCACATCTTGTGGGGCCTTTTTGGCAGTGGTGGTATGAGAGGTCTAGTCGCAACTTTGGGGGCTTCCTTAAAGGATGGAGTCATTCTTTCTGGTATTTTACAGCAATATTCCTTTGTTACATCTAAATTTGAGCCTCTGTAAAACATTGGTCGGGGAGCACAGACAAGTCATAAATTTGAGATTGGGTAAGATGGCCCATCCCACTGCAGTATCTAGGGGACTTTTGTCATTCTGATTGTTACTTAAGTGGTTTACAGAAGTCAAGATAAATGTTAGTTTACACATTGTCTGGGTAGTGGTGGAAGTCACAGATCTTAGTTACTTATTACAAGTTGCAGGGGCCAAGATGGCATTTGTTTGGGCTGCTTATTCTGGCAATTGCTGATAAGCAAAGGCCAGCAATTCTGGCAGTTACTGATAAGAAAAGGTAAGCAGCTTTACATAGTGGGCATTTTTCAGAGCAAACTAACAGTTTTATTTACAGAAACGGTTATTGCTAGGAGAATGGGGCAGCCATTACAACTTACTTTTTGGAAACACAGCTTTGTCTTATAAAATAGTGTTGCTCAGGTTCTGGCTCTGGGCCAGCTATAGCACAAAAAAGCTTCTGCAAAGCAAACAATCAACAAAGTGAAAAGAAACCAAACAGAATGGAAGGAAATATTTGCAAACTACCCTTCTGACAAGGGATTAATAACCAAAATATCTAAGGAGCTCAAACAAATATATCAGAAACATTCTAGTAATCTAATAAAAAATGGGCAGAATATTTTAATAGACGTGCCTCAAAAGAAGACATACAAATGGCAAAGAGTCATACAAAAAAGTGCTCAACATCATCAATCATCAGAGAAATGCAAATCAAAACTACAATGAAATATCATCTCATCCCAGTTAAAATGTCTTTTATCCAAAAGATAAGCAATAACATGCTGATAGGGATGTGGAGAACAGGGAACCCTCACAAATTGTTGGTAGGAACATAAATTAGTATAACCACTATAGGGAACAGTTTGGAAGTTTCTGGAAAAAAAAAAGAAAAGAAAGGAACCTAAAAAATAACAGAGTGGCCAAGATAGCTGACCAGAAGCAGCTAGTGTGCATGATTCTATCTCTCATGGAGAGGAATGAAAGGGGAGAGTAAATAGAGCACTTTAAACTGAAATATCCAGGTATTCACCTTGGTACTAATCAAGGAAACAACTTGACCTACAGAGAATGAAGAAAAGCAAGACAGAACAATGGCTCACCTGGGGGCAACATAGAGCCAGGGGAACCTCCCCCAACTAGGGAAGTGGTAAGTGAATATTTGCCCCCGAGACACCATGGTTATCCCAAGGATCTTTACAGCCCTCAGGTCAGGAGATCACCTGGTGAAACCACTCCACTGCAGCCTTCAGTCTGACAGGCAGAGTTACATGGAATCTTGTCAAGGCATCTGCTCAGGCATGCATGGAGATCCTAGTGCTTTAGCTACTGGAGGTTTTTAGCAAAAATAGCTGCAACTTTGGCCAAGTGGAAGGTTAGACCCCCATACATACCCGTAAAAAAAAGGCTAAATTCAGAGGGCTGAGCAGCGACTGCTGGCAGTCCCAACTTCTTTGGCACATGGCACCTCACAAGATAAGACCTACTGGCTTGGAATTTCAGCCAGCCTTCAGTAACCATATTGCACCTTCCTAAGAATGAGGTCCTGTGGGGAGGGGTGGACCACCATCTTTGTTGTTTGGGTGCCTTAGCTATTCCAGCCTTCTGGCTTTGTAGAGTCCAAGCTGACCATGGGCAGAAGGAATCCCTCAACAAAGTACAGCTGCTCTACCAAAACATGGCCAGACTGCTGCTTTAATCAAGTACCTGATCTCATTTCTCCTCACTGGGTGAGAACTTCCATTTGGGGCCTCCAACCATTGCTGTTGGTGTTGTGAAGCAGACAGACATTTGTGAGCTCCCAGAGGGAAAGGTGGTCCACTATCTTTGCTGTCTTAGTGGCATGTCCATTCCAGCCTTCATGCTTCAGAGTGTCTGAGGCAACTGGGATGCTGAAGCAGACTCCCAGCACAGCACAGCTGCTCTACCAATATATGGTCAGACTGCTTTTTAAAGTGAATCCTTGAACCTGTTTCTACTCACTGGATGGGACCTCCCAACTGAGGTCTTCAGCTACCTCCTACAGGTGTGTTTGGCCCAACAACAGGCCCATATCTCCCTGATGGAGAGCTCCCAGAGGGAAGAACAGGCTGCCATCTTTGTTGTTTCACAGCCTTCACTGGTGAAACTTCCAGAAACTGGAAAATCTGAGGTGACTAGGGGCTGGAGCAGATTCCAAGCATACTGCAGGAGCCCTAAGAAAAAGTGGCCAGACTGTCACATAACTGCCTTGTTCCCATTTCTCCTCACCAGGCAGGTCCTTCAGACCTGGGCTTCCAGCCATCCCCTGCCAGAGCTATTGATCCAGTAACAACTCAGCGACTCCCTGGACAGAGCCTCCAGGAGCAACTGAAAGCCTTTCTGCCACTGCCTCTGCAGTAGAATTGCTCTTGCCACTTTCAGACTAATGAAGGAGCAAAGACCCTAAGTGCTTTATCCACACCTCCAACAAGCTGCTGTGGACCCAAGGAGAAGAGGCAAGTCTGTCCCCCATGACTCCCACACTGCTACTGCTCATTACCAGAGAACCCCTAGTTTGGGCACACAGCACAAGCCCCTCATCCTGGGATGATTGCACTGAGTGATTGCTGACTTGCATCTTTCCGAAAAATATGGGATTATGTGAAAAGACCAAATCTACAAATCATTGTTATCTCTAAAAGGGAGGGGGAGATAGCAAACAAGTTGGAAAACATATTTCAGAATATCATCCATGAAAACTTTTCTAACCTTGTTAGAGAAGCCAAAAGTCAAATTCAGAAAATACAGAGAATTCCTGCAAGATTCTACACAAGAAGATTATTTCCAGGACACATAATTGTCAGAAATTCTAAGGTTGAAATGAAAGAAAGAATGTTAAAGTCAGTTAGCAGAAAAGGGCAGGTCACCTACAAAGGAAACCCCATCAGGCTAACAGAGAACCTGCTAGCTGAAACCTTACAAGCCTGAAGTCATTTGGGGCCTATATTCCACATTCTTAAAGAAAAAAAAAAAAATCTTCAAACAAGAATTTCACATCCAGCCAAACAAAGCTTCCTAAGTGAAGGAGATATAAGATCCTTTTCAGGCAAGCAAATGTTGAGGGAATTTATAACTACCTGACCTGCCTTACAAGAGATCTTGAAATGAGCACTAAAAACAGAAATGAAAGACTGCTACCAGTTAATAAAAAAACACACTCAAACACACAGAGCAGTGTTAGTGTATAGCAACTGCACAAACAAGCCAACATAATGAAAGCCAGAAATACAATGGCAGGATCAAATCCACACATATCAATGCTAATCTTTCATGTAAATGGGCAAAATGCCCCACTTAAAAGGCGCAGAGTGGCAGCTGGATAAAGAAGCGAGACTCAATGGTATGCTGTACTCAAGAGATCCATCTCACACGTGAGGAAACTCATAGGCTCAAAATAAACAGATGGAAGAAAATATACCAAGCAAATGGAAAACAGAAATGCAAGCATTGCAATCCTTAATTCAGACAAAGGAGATTTCAAACCAACAAAAATCAAAAAAGGCAAAGAAGTGTATTACATAATAGTAAAGGTTTCAATTCAACAAGAAGACCTACCTATTCTAAATATATATGCATTCAACACATGAGCATCCAAACTTATAAAGCAAGTTCTTAGAGACCTTCAAAGAGACACAGATTTCCATACAATAATACTGGGAGACTCCAGCACTCCACTAACAGTGTTAGACAGATCATTGAGGCAAAAAATAAACAAATATATTCAGGATCTAAACTTAACATTGGACCAAATAGATCTGATAGACCTTTACAGATCCCTCCACACCAAGTAAGAGAATATACATTCCTCTCATCACCACATGGCACATACTCTAAAATCAACCACATAATTAGACATAAAAAAATCTTCAGCAAACGTAAAACTAAAATCATACCAAACATGCTCTCAAGCCACAACACAATAACAATAGAAGTCAACACTACGAAAATATCTCAAAACCATGAAATTGCATGGAAATTAAACAACATGCTCCCGAACAATTTTTGGGTACATAATGAAAGTAAGGCAGAAATGAGGAAGATCTTTTAAAATAATGAGAACAAAGATAAAACATACCATAATCACTGAGACACAGCTAAGGCAGTGTTAAAAGGGAAATTCATAGCATTAAATAACCACACCAAAAAGTTAGATCTCAACAATCTAACTTCAAAACTGAAGAAGCAAGAACAAATCAACCCCAAGGCTAGCAGAAGATGAGAAATGACAACAACAACAACAGAATTAAAGCTGAACTGAACGAAAAGCCATCCAAAAGATCAATGAATTCAGGAGTTAGTTTTTTGAAAAAAAATAAAACAGGACACTAGCTAGAATAATAGAGAATAAAACAGAGAAGATCTAAGTAAACACAATTAGAAATGGTAAAGGAAATGTTTCTATTAACTGCACAGAAATAAAAATGACTCTCAAAAACTACTACAAACACATCTATGCACACAAAACTAGAAAACCTAGAAGAGATGGATAAATTCTTGGATACTTACATCCTTCGAAGGCTGAGCCAGGAAG